GAAGTGTGGTTACACTTGAAGATAGACTGCAGTGTGAAAATGTGCTTTGCAATTGCACCGTGAAAATGTGTTCTGCAATTGCACTGTGCTTTGCAATTGCACCCGGATGAATGGCCAGGCCGCCTCGGCGCCAAAAGCTAAGCCTGCAGAGGCTTCTGGGTTGACGTGCCATTGTGGGAAGCCGCCGCAGCATGTACACCATCGATCAGTTGGCGCGAAAAAAACTTATAAGGCTCGAACGGGAACTCCATATAAGGGGTTCAAATGGCAGCGCGCAAGACGATGGGACAGTCGTCTAGCTGTGCATTTAAAACCGCGCTTCTCCCCGCGATTGGGGAGAGAGAGCGCCTGCAGGCGGAACGGAGACCACGACTCTGAGGCTGAACAGGCAAGGGACCCCAAGCTGACTCTCCCCTCTTTGAAAAGAGGCGTTTTCTAAGGCCTTCGCGTTACCCACTTCCCTAACCCAACGACGTTTATGTGCACGATATAATGTTACATCTGTTATCACCTATGATTTTTTACCTAACCATGAGTATTATTTAAAGTGATAGCAATGATTGATAAGTTCGACCTTTGCATAGTTGTATTTGTTGTAGCCACCACTGTTTGTTGTATTTTAATGTATCTTTCTATCTTAGGGGTCATTCTATAGTTAAATAAAACCCCTTTTTTTTTTCCAAAAAATCATTGTATGTTTTCGACTCACCCAAGTGCACACCGCATCTCGAACCTCCACACATACCTGGCCCCCACTACTCACACTGGGCTCAGGTGCCTCCCCCCAGGCATGCCTGGCCCCACTACCCTCTAGTCTTAACCCACCAAATTGTGGGGACTGGGGTTATCAGGCGCCCCTTTCACTGGGGAGGTAACTGACCTGGCATTTCTGGGGGGACTGTCCCGCCACAGACAGCCTCACCAGACCACCCTTCCCCAGCAGGGTGTAGTTTTGGGTCATGCCCAGGACCAGCGCAAGCCTACCTGCCCTGGTCTAGTTCCCCTGCTAGGGCTCCTGGGTGATGTATCTAGGCTCTCTCTCCCTGGGCCCAGCTCTCACTCAGATCCCCATTTGGATACCTCCCCTCCAGAAGCTGCATTGCAGCCTCCATCATAACAGCCTGCATGCTGGCTGACTCCTACCCTCTTCAGCTGTGATGTCCCCCCCATCAAAAGGACCTTCAGCCCTTATAGCCTCTGGCCCTGCCTCCAGGCCCGTTGGGGTGCCAGATAGCTCACCGTGGCCCTGACCTGCCCCTCACATTAGGCTTAAATGCCCCTCAGCCTTCAGGCCCTGGCCCTCTTGCACTGACCAGTGCAAGGGATCAGAAAGTCAGCCTGGCAGCCACTGACTCCCATACTCCTGGGGGGTCCCACCATACAGCCCTCACCCTAATCCGGGTTGGCCTAACGACCCCACAATGCTGCCTGACGCCTAGTCCAACTCAACTCACCTGAGCCCCTGGCTTCACCCCTGCCAGATCCACTCAGGGGCTTGCTGGCTCTTACTAGGTCCTAGCCTTCTTTCAGGGGCTCGGGACCCTGCTGGGCCCCCTACGAACCTCCTGCCATCCCCACAGTTCCCCCCTTACCTCCAATGTGTTCCAGGAACAGCAACTCAGCCAGGTGTTGTTGCAGACTGCTCCCTCAGCCCTGTGGGCCTGGATCTAAAATGGCTGCTTCACCAGGGCTGGCCTGCACTTGACAGCTGCCTGCTCTCAGCCTTAAAGTGGCAGATACCAAGGCTAGGGACAGACATTTAAAAAGCCTGAGTCTGAATTGATTCAATCTTTGCAGGTTAGTTTAACCTGCAAAGCCTGAACTGATCTGTAGGTGGGAAAACATTTCTTTTTCATTCCAGACATGCAGGCACATGCCTGCAGTGGGTCAGGCTAGAAGCTGGGGGGTGCTAGAGCAGCCCTTCCTTCCCTTCCCTTCACTGAGCTGGCGGGGGGCATGGCCAGGCCCTGCCAGGACATTCTGATTAGCCCAGCAGGGAATTGATAAGCGTTTATCACCCCTAACTCAGTACTTAATCACTCCATTAAGAAAACAGACGGACATTACCAGCTACCTGTTGACTCTACCTTTGTCACAGCATGGACCAGAGCCAGCATGTGGTCTTCTAGCTAATACACAAAGATACTTCCCAGCAAGGCAGAGGGGAGGGGGGCATTCCTGCTTAGTAGGGAGTGGTGAGGGGGACGTGGGGAGCAGCCTGCAAGTCTCTGCCAGAGCTGCAGCCAGGGAGCAGAGGGGAGGGGCCAGTCCTGCTGTGGAGCAGAGAGCCCAGCCCAGTGAATATATCGGGATGGTTTATCTTAAACCAGCAAGGGGTCTCGGACATACATTGCATAAACTGGTTTGAGCCAAATCAGTTAAGTCTGCTACTACATTCAACCAGGTTTATCTCAAGCTGGTTTCAGCCATTTTCAAACTGGCTTATGTGCACTGAACATCTGTTCTGTTACAGGTTTAAACCAGTTTCTGATCATTTAAACTGGTTTATGTGTAATGTCTGTCCCTAGCCCAAAGGTGATCTGCCACACACCTTCCCCCTTAAAACGGCTACCCAGGGAGGGGAGTGGGGGGGTCTCCCTGCTGCTCACCATGCAGGCTCATCTGTCACCTGCAACAGCCCACTAAGTGGCAAGCACCCCAATGGTGCTTCTGCCACACCACAGCACTTTCCTTCCATTTCCTGACTGCAGCCTCCCTTTTCAATAAGAAACGTTACTGGAGTTCAAGCACTTACTTTTTGCTTTGGGAAGCTCTTCTCTCTGCCAAAGATCCTGGAATGTATTTCAGTCCTGGTATTCTCTTCAGCAGGCAGAAAGGAAACTTCTGATCTAGCCTGGTTACAGCCGACTCTGGGAGATCCAAGCAG